TATCCCACACTTCCCCCTGAAGGTGATCTTTTCTATGTAGTTTCCCCTAATCCTGGAAACAGGGCGAACAAAAAGGTCCCCCTCTAATCCTGCTAACTCACCCTGGCTTCACTGCATCTCCCAGAACCCTGCAGCAGTCACAATTCATTCTAATCACTTTACAAAACAATCTTTAGTAAAAAGAGGAAAAATGCAGACTTGTAAGCCAATTTAAGAAATAACTGCTGATACATCAGTTATTGACTATTTCACTCCTGCTCATGATAGTGCTCAAGGCAAAACCAAGAACAAAATGACAACATCAACTGCACGCAATAAACTGTGGCCCAGGAGAGCACTGAAGCCCTAATTGACAGCTGTCAAGCTAATGGGAGAAATGGCAACTGATTCTGGAAAATTCTGTTTTCCAGGCAGATATTCAGGGGAATCTATCATGCCTTTTTATATTTATGCCCCTTTTTTTTTCTTTATTGTTCCTCACACTTTGTCGAAAAGGAAAAAAAAAGGGGGGGGGGGGGGAAGCAGAGGACAGCCATAACTAATCATGTTGTCAGCTTGCTGCTAGGAAGAATCTCTGTCCAACAGAGAAATATGTGGCAGGTTTGGAGGCAAATAACGCACCAAAGGCTGACACTTCAAGTACCTTTATAGGTAATCTACTTTATTGTTACATTTAGTTTTGGGGTATGTATGTAGTTGTTAGCAATTCCCATAAATTAAAGCAAGCATTCAACTTCCAGAGGTCAGAGCTGCGTGGAAATCTGGCTGCACAACCTGCGTGCCATCTTGCATCTGTACTACTGTGGTGTACTCCCAGCCTTGCTCGGAAGGTGCTGGTAACTACCAAGAGCACCAAAGTCCCAGCAAAGTGGAAGTGCTCTGCATCCCTGAAAAATCAGTGCAATGTATTTCAGTATTTACTGACCATGTGTGTCTTCTGAATGTAAGCAAGGAAGCTGTGAAAAGCCTAGAGAGTATGCAGCTAGTTCTAGGGTTTAAGCCATACTATATACAAATATATATATGTATAACATATATATACACCATGGGCCCAAGTTTGGCTTTTTTCTCAGAGGCTTCAAAATTCAGTGCAGTTGTCTGGATCTAAAAAAAAAAAAACAAACCAAACAATAATTGTTTTATTCAATCTCAAAAAAAAAAAAAGTAAATGAGTTTCCAACAAATGATTAGCTCCCCATCCCTCCTCAGAAAAGCTTTATCTGTATACAAAATATGTATTGGGTAATTTCTGTCAGTAGGAAGTATATTTTCTTGATCTTTTAAATAGATTTCTAAATAAGCTGTGAGTAAAAGCTATAATTTAAAGACAAATAATTACTGTTTGCATGAACACAACTGGCCTCTATTAATGCAGTATCTTAGCTTTCCTAGACAGTAGCCTCTAACCAGTAAATACCTTCTTCCTCCTGACTTCAGTGACAGAAGTCTTTGGAGCAGGAATTCTGTCTTCTTGCTTTAACAGGTGAGGAATCAAAATGCGATCCCCAAGTCTTCCTCCCAGATTTCTCTGTGCTATTCACCTGAGTCTCAAAGCAAACAAACCCAAATTATCATTTTTACAGATTCTTGATTCTTATAGACAGCTTTAGTCTTCCACAGTGTGGTGTTAACACTTGGGCTAGACATAAAGAATTTGTGCACCTGTCTGTTCTGTCTGCAAGCTCTGTGCTGCTGAGAGTTCTTTGTTGTTGTTATTCTACTCCAGACCATTAAAAGGGCCCTAATTCCTATGACATGATTATCCAGGTACCAAAGCCCATTTGTCACCTGCAGCAGAAAATTGAGTTAATGCACAACTAAAGGCAACCAGGACTGTGTAATATCAACTTGATTACATCAAACTAGCTGCAAACCTAATTCTGCTGGATGACACTGCGTGGAGCTTGTCATCTCCAATCATTAAAGCTGTCAGGAATCCATCAGGTTTACAGCTAATTAGGTGAACACTAATGAAGCTGGCAAAACAACTTTTCTTTTTTTTTATGGCTGAGCGGACCTTTCAGTTTGGAGGAAAAAAAAAAAAAATTCTCGAGTATTCTCAAGGTTGCTGGGGACTGGATTTCCTGAGTTACCAATCAGCAGACATCTTTAATTCTCCCCCCACCACCACCTTTTTTTTTCTTTCTCAGTACCAAGCAATCAATTTGTCATCACTCTCAGTATGCCACAAAAGCAGTCATGAACCTTATAACTCGCAGCTCTGCAGCCAAAAAGGGGAGGGGGGAAATAAAGAAAGTTTCTTCTGTCTTAAAATAAAACGCCTCACACAGCTCACTTATTTATCTTCATGCACTTATCAACAGCATAAATGTTCTTGTTTTTTCACTCTTGTCAAATAAGTAGCCCTTCAGTCATTCTACATCCCCCATATCCATTAGGCAGAGGCATTTTGATAAAGTAAAGCCAAAGCTAGTGTATGGGAAAGAATGAAAGCACTCACTCTGCCAACTTCTGATTGACCATTAAGCTATTGATGAATGTGCCTGTCAGGAGAGAGACAATTAAATCAAATATGAAACAAAGTCGTTTTGACGGGTCATTTTGATAGAGCAAAACCATTCTTCCATCTCCTATTAGTCCTGCAGTCAAGTTTTTGTAATGAATATTTCTTAACTAACCTGTTATTTCTTAGCTGTTTTTTTAAGGTGTTAAAAAAAACAAACAAGGCCTTTGCTTTTACTGCTGTTAGAAAAAGTAACATTTCCAATGTGACCAATAAAGCAGCATCACAGTGGGAAGCAATTATACACAATACTAAATGTTTAATGTGGCTATCAAAAAGCTAAAAGTTTAAACAGATTACACTTCTGCTGAATATGAAAGATAGATCACACATCATGGATGATTCACTTGAGAAGGAGGGAGAGCTGGAAAGTGATGAAGCGAGAGAAAGATGCCTCAAAACCCATGTTTAGGGCAGAAACGTTTTCTCCCAGCCCTTGGAGAGCCCAGCACACAGCACAGTTGAATATGTCAAACACTTGCAAGAGCTGGATTTTGCAAAACTCGACTGATGTTACATAAGAGAATTTCATGAACCTTAGGAAAGGTTCCCCTTTTTAATTTATTTGAAAAGTATCACTTGATGGGCACTGGCCAGAAGTGCAAAATATTATTGTGAAGTTATTTGGCTATGACATTGACAGATTGTACCGCTACCACACTGCAAAACTTTCCAAACTTCCTAGCTATTAGTATTTGGAGCAAGGCTGCTAAGAAGTCTGGTTCTCTGTTTCAGAAGTATTCGATAAATGCACATATATGTCAAGGAAGAGAAGAAAGGAAGTGCGGACATCATAGTTTTTTACAATTCACATCTCTCCCCAAAAACATCGCTGTTCACTATATCCAGACTGTACTACTGAGTTGCTGGGCAGTGTGAATGCAGAGGCACATTTCTGGATGTCTCTTCTGTACCAACAACCCATCAAGCTGCAGGACTACCTGCTCAGAGCAGTTACAAGCACACCCACAGATGCACTCACAAGAACACCCCTAGAGAATCCAGACTCTCAGCCTGTCAGCACACAGTCTTCCTATGTAAGAGGCGAGTCATGGGTGACATGCTGGTCCCCAAAACTGTCCCTAACCAAACGCAAACCTGTTCCTCCACCATCCCCATGCCATGGGGCTCTGTGGCACCTCCAGCCAAGGAGCCCCTCAAGTTGTGCTAACCCAGAGTTGACAGGCCGTGTGTGACGTCACCAGCCTGGCGTTACCACGGCAAGTGATTTATTGATGTTTATCGGGAATGAATAGATCAAAGGCAGCCAGATGACAGGCGATCAATCAGCCATCAAATCAAGGATGGCAACAGGCCAGCGAAACCTCTTCCAGCCCACATAACCCCAACTAAGGATTACTGTAAAATTATGTGTGGCTTTTTTTTTTGGTTTTGTTTTTTTTTTTTTACTGTTTTCTTTTCAATTTGGCTTTTCAAAAAAAACGTTGCTTAAGTTTAACAGGAGTTGACATTTCTGGCATAAGGAAAACAAACCAACCAAACAAAAAAAAGCCCTCACCAGGACAAAACCTTTAAAAGTATTTCCAAAGAGAAAAAGAAGAAAAAATAAAACCCATGGAGGAAATCGTAAAGGAACTATAAGAAACATTCACGAGGCATTTGACAATACACAGACCCCTTTTTCCCCCAAACCCTTTTGGTTTCCTTCGCAGCATCTCATCTGGACTCATAAATAAGAAATCAATAGGATTAACAGAAGAGGTTGCTAAAGAAAGTGGCCGACTCAGTGGGTCTGTGTTCAACAGAGCCATCCCCAGTGTGGTATGAGGTGAAGCGAGAGAAAGAGAAAAGTTGGGCAAAGGAACAGGCTCTCAGCTTGGATCATCAAGTATCACTGCGGAGCCTCCAAATCACTTTGTCCCCACCATTTCATTCACAGCGTGCCAGGTATTTATATACCTCCTTTTACAGGAGGAAAAAAAAAATATAAATATATATTTTTTTTAAAAGGAGCATTTTCACTGGCTTTCACTAACCATTTGTCTGTGAACTAAGGGGATGGAGAAGAACCAAGACCATGAGAGAGAGAAGCAAAGTAGGTGCCAAAGTAAGGGCTGGAAATGAACAAAATTCGCCTCCTTACCCCACCCCTGGAGTCATACAGATACAACACATGTAGTATGTGCCCGCACACAGCCGCCCGGCTTTCCCCCAGTACTGACGGCAGAGTCAGAGAATAATTCAAGTGGCTACCAAAGTAGGGACAGGGCTTTCATGTGTCCCCACCCCAAGGAAAATAAAACCCAACAAACAAAATTACATACAGCACACACACACTCCCCGCCACAGTGCTGCGCCTCCAGCCCGAGAGCTGCTCTGCAAAGCAAGGGGAGCGGGGTATGGCGGGGGGGGGGGGACGACCCGGTACGGACCGACGGTCTCGGCCCGCTGGCAGGCGGTTATGGACGAGCCGGCGGGAAGCGAGGGGAGCGGCAGGCGGCCGCGGCTCTCGTACCTGCTGCGCGCCGGGGCGCTTGCTGCTTCCTCCTCGGCATGCTGAGCTCCGGCGGCCGGCGGAGGGGGGGCTGCCTGGGCGCGGGGGTGGGAAGAGTTGCTTCAGCCCCTGAGATCCGGTGAGCTGCTCCAGCCTCGGCTCGAGGGCTGGGTTGGGGATATATTTTTTGTTGCTGTGCATACACGATGCCGAGGAGGAGGAGGCGGCGGCGGCGGCGGAGGAGGAGGAGGCGGCACAGAGGAGAGGACAGCCCTGCTGCTGCTGCTGCTGCTGCTGCTGCTGGCAGAAGAGGGGGGAAGTTTGACAAATCGCCCCGGAGGAAGGAGGAGGGGAAGCCCCCCGAAGAGGTGAGCGGGCGGGAGGGCTGGGGGGAGCCCGTAGTCCCCCCCACCCCACCCCGCGCCCCCGGTGCCTGGCCGGGCTGAGAGATCACGGCATAAAGACGGGGAATTTCTTGGCAGGAGTCGGCGGAGCCTCAGCCGGCGCTCTCCACTCCCCGGCTCCCGGCTCGGCGCTGGAGCGGCGGCAACAGGCGAAGCTTGAAGGGAAACGAGATGATCGCAGTGTCACTCAAACTAGTCCGCAAAGAGAGAGAGGGGCTCCGCACTCCCACCGCCTCCCGCCCCGGACGGCACCTTAACTCTTTGCGCATCGCGCCGCCGGACAGCCCGCCACCGGCCCGGCCACGGCGGCGGAGAAGCGTCCGCCAGGGGCGAGCGGCGGCAACGGGGTGGCCCCCTCAACCACGGCACCTCCTCCGCCGCCCAACTTCGCCCGCCACCGCTTTCCTCAGCAGCCCGCGGCAGCGGAGGGGCTCTGCCCGCCGGACCCCCGGGAACGGCACGACAGGGCAGCGCAGCCACTCCGCTCCCCGCCGGCAGCCCTACCCTTTCCGCACCCGCGCGCGCCCGTTCCCAGCCGGACCCCCCCCCCTCAGCCATCGCCTGCCGCCACGCTGGGGCACGGGACCCTCCTGCCCTGCAGCCTTTTCCCACCCCTTGCCCCAGTGAGATGGGCCCGGTACCTGTCCCCGGAGCTTGAGCCCCGTCGCCGAGGAGCTCGGCCGCCCCATGGGGTGACAGCGGTAGCGGCCCCAGTCCCCGCCTCACCCTGCACCTCAAGCCGCCGCCCGCCCCGGCCCTACTCACCGGAGCGCCGGGCAGCCGGCCGCTCGCCGGCACACATCCAGCCCTTCGGCTCCCACCTGGCTGGCGCCGCGGCCGCCCGGGCTCCGCTGCGCGCCTGCGGGCGGAGTGTCGGCTGGAGCCGCTCCGGCCGGGACCGGTAACGGCGGCGCCTCCGCCGGCCGAGGCGCTGCGCCTTGCCCCGCGGTGCCGGCGGCCGGCCGGGCAGCGGGCAGCTCCCTGCTCTTCGGGAGATCACTTTTTCCTTTTGGGGGGCTTTTTTTTTTTTCTTTTGAGTTTGGGATTTTTTTGGCTATTTTTTTGGTCCAAGTTCACCGGCGGAGCCGCCGCGCTCAGCCCAACTCAGCCCAGCGAGCGCCGACAGATCGATGTGCTGAGGGTTTGATTGTGCATCCCTGGGCGGCGGGGCCGCGCACCAGCGGGGAGGGCTGGGGCGGTGGGGGGGGGGGGGGGGGGAATGTGGGGGGGTCCGGGCCGGCTTAAGCGCCTCCCGCCTGCGCGGGCACGGCCGTTCCTCTGCGCTCCGCACCCGCGGCCGCTGCCGGAGGCCGCCTGGATAGGGAGGGGGCTGGGGGAGCGGAAACAACAGCAAAAAAAGTAGCGGGTTTTTTTCTTTCATTTTTCCTTTCTTTCTGGTTTTGGGGTTTGGGGTTTGGTTTTTTTTTTTTGTTTTTTTTTTTTTTTTTTTTTTTAAATTCACGGGGAGGAATAAAACAAAAAGGATTATCTCACTTTTACGGTAAGATCAAAAAAAAAAAAAAATCTCCGCTCGCCCCCATTCTTCGGGTTTTGGGATAATTCCAAATACCTGACTAAGTGCAGATGTTGTTGCGTCTTCGCATCTTATAAAGCCGCCGCGCCGCTCTCTGCTCCCGCTTTCCTCTCCAAGTGGCAGGGAATTCAAACACTTTACATGAAGGGTGGAGGACGATTGGGATTTTTTTTTTTTTAATTATTATTTTTGAGGGTTTTTTCTTTTTTAAGATGATCTTTAGGATAAAAAATAAAATCGCAGTCGCTTAAAGTCCCCGCGAAATTGCTACTGTTGGGGGAAAATGAAACATTTCTTGCAAACAAGGAAACGGTGAGTTGTCAACTGCCGGTTCAACTGCGAAATTCGCTCAGCTCCGTCTCATTTGATACTCGCTGGTTGCTCCTCACAGTTACAGTATCTGCTCAGGGAAGGAGCCATCAGATCTACTTAAGAGACGGCACCGAGACGTGCCCCCCTCCCCAAAACCCCTCTGTGTGTGTGTGTAAGCGGGTGGGTGGGTGCCGCAGGACGGGGAGCGGGCAGACCCGGGCAGCCCCGCTCGCCGCCTCATGCCGTTAGATCCGCCCTAACATCTGTCTGTCTCACCATTGGCGCATCCATCAGTGTCACCCCGGGCTGCACATTGCAGCGACAACACATCAGACACAACGCAGACCGGGGGTTCGGTACAAATAACCGACATGCTCAACAACTTCACCGGGAAGGATGCGACCAGCCGCAGCATAAGTATTTACAAATGTTCCACAGCCCCGGGAAACGGAGTGAGCTCGGCTGCGATTAATAACTTCTTCCTCCCCGCCCCCTCCTCCGCTTTCAGTAGGAATTAGGAAATAGAAAACCTCAATAATTCACGCCCCACCACAACCCCCCCACGACCGATGTGGCTGGGGCCACTCCCGGCTGCCCGGGACCGCGTTAAGCACACGGAGCCCGGCGGATCGGGGAGCCCCGGGGCTGGGGCTACTGAGAGCGCAGCATGGAGGGTTCCTCTGAGCTCCCGAGCAGGAGAGGCTGAACTAAACTTTGTGAGATCCAGGTGGGAGCAGGGGCACCGGGGTCACTGGTTCCGGTGAAACGCCCTGGAGACCACAAGTACCGTGGAAGTGACAAGGCTTCCTTAGCTATTTCAGCCCTGTAAAGGCAGCTCTTAAACGTGCGGGAGACTTATCCGTAGCAGGAATCACTGAGCCTTCACTAGTCGGCTGCAGCGGCCAATCACTAGTATGAGGAGGGGGGGCAAGTTGCAAGAACTTTTATCCCCCCCCCCCCCCCGCTCCTTCTCTCTCCCTAAATCTGCTCACCTTCCCCCAGCTGTGCATCGCATGCAGCCCGCGGGGTGCCCCGGCCCGGGGCTCTCCGGGTGCGCACCCCCTCCGCCGGCCCGGCCCGGCCCCTCTCGCTGCTCCACGCACCCCCGTGTACGGGTGTAGTGTCGTGTGTGCTTCAGTAGCCTCCCTCGCAGAGCTCGCCCCCCCGCAGGAGCGCAGACCCCGGCAACCCCAGCACCGGAGACCGGTGTCATTGCCCAAACCCTGCGGAGAGCCCCGCGGGGCTGCCCCGCACAGCGCGGGCCGCAGGCACGGTGATGTGGGAGTGCACCAGCCTGGGTCTAGAGTTGAAACAGAAGTCAAACTTTCCCTAAACAGCAGTAGGAAGAACTTAGGCAGTTCAGTTAGAATAATAGCTCTCGTGTGAGCGTGAGAGAGGGAGGCAGCAGCTGTACGCGCACCCCAGCACATGCACTGCACTTACACATTCACAACTCCCAGCGCCAAAATAGTCAGGAAGTTGTGGAATAACTGGGTTGTTAACTCTACCCATGTTTTTAGGGGAAGAACAACAACAAAAAAAAAGTATTGTACTTCCTATCAGACGAGTTACAGAGGGAAACGCAGATTCCTTCATGTGCATCGGCGTCTTTGAGGGACACAGTCTATTTCAGAGAGCCAAAACCCGTAGTTCTACTAAGGGTAACATTTACAAACATAATGCATAAAATCGATGACTGTACAGACTCCAACTAGAAAGAGTAAGCACACGAGGATCAGCTCTAAGCTCTCTCTTCCCGGCAGTTTTAAACCACGGTCCTAATTATTTATAAGTCGCATAACGAGATAACCACCATTCCTCAACTTCCCATCAGCTAAGAATGGTTTATATCTCCACGGTGTGCACCGAGCAGTGCCCTTCCTTGTGGTACTTTTTCACTGTTCATTTCATTCCCCCAAGTGAAAACTCCGGCAGTTTTCCAAGAAACATTCCCCCAGGCACCCAGGTCCGAGAGGGCTGAGCTGCTGAAAGGAACGCGGGGATTAACCGTTAGTTGTGGGGATAACTAAGGAAATACCTATGAGAATAACTATGGGAATAAGTATGGGGATAACTATGGGAATAATTGTAGAGATAGCTGCGGGGATAGCTATGGGGATAAGTACGGAGGTAACTATGGGAATAACTATGCGGATAGCTGTGGGGATAGCTGGGGAGGGCCAGTAAGTAAGTTTATTAAATGTAGATCAGCTGCCTCTTAGAAACCAGCGTGTTTCGGCTTTGACCTTGTTCTCTCCCCAGCAGAGTGCTGGTGTTTCACCACACGCTCGCTGCTGACACAGACGGGAGAAGCATGTCCCGGGCTCCCCGGGCCGTGGGTACCCGCTCTCCGGGCCTCCTCTGCTCACCCCGGGGGTCCCTTTTAAGACCTGCCCATCCCGGTCTTTACCCCAGCCCTCCCTGCCGCACTCCTCAAACGGAGCGAAAAGTACTTCGGTTTCTCCCGGCGAAGAACAAAGACGCAGGAAGCAGTTTTCATTAAGGCTGGACTGGATGAACATGTATCTGACAAGTTTGTTTAAAAACACCGCTGCCAACGACGGAAAAAGATGCTACCCCGCTTTTGTAAAATACAGAGCGTTGTCAATAACCACTATAACAGCGATAGGAATCTAAGAGGGGAACAAAGACATTTTGTAATATCTACATAACCGTATTAGAGCAAAATTATTTTAAAATGCCTAAGAAATCCCAAACCTCCTGAATACAAATGAATAAAAGTTTTTCTTCGGGCTAAAATCTTCGCTTGAATGTAAATTGTTTGGGTAAGTGAATTTACACAGCAGCAAAGTTTGTTTGTCTTAGTCCAGTAGCTTTGCTTTAACGAACCAGATGTTTTGTCTGTAAATTGTCAGAGGACTTTCACAATTCTGACATGGAATAAGCTCCAGAAAACCAGCACTGGAAGAGCTATGTCCGGGTGAGCTGGACCAGGCGTTTCGGAAAGAGCCCAGGGAAAAAACAGAGAGGGAAGGGTAAGCACGAACGGCAGCTTCATATTTGGAAGCATTCGCTTTAAAGCTGTAGGTAATCGTGCTCTGATCGATTAGCTTCCGTTTGGAGTTCAAAGTGATTCCCTACCTAACCCCAGATAGCAGAGCTATCCCCCCCCTCCCAATAAAATAAACAGACACTGGGGGAGGGGACATTTTGGCTTAGGAACCAGCAGGGAACTCCCACAGCGGCTCGGCCCGTGCGGCCACAGCCACTCCGCAGCCATCCGCTGCCCTCCGCGCAGCCGAGAGGGGCTCGCCGGGCGGTGCCGGTGCCCGCAGCGGGCGCTCCTCCCGCCCATCCCCGGGCCCCGGCCCCCTTCCCGCGGGGCCTCAGCCCACGCCTCGTGGGAGCAGCCCCTGCCCGACACCAAGTTGGCGAATTAAACTTGGGAGGCGAGAGAGGGTCCCGGACGCGGCCGTACCGAGGCGGGGGGGGTGATACCGCTGCTTCCCCCAGACAGCCGGGCCCCGCCGCCTCGCCTCCCTGGGGAGGGAGTCAAGGACTCGACTGCGTTTAGCGGTGCCTGCCTGCTGCGGCCCCCGAGCTCTCTGGAACCCCACTCTCCCCAACCGGGTTTTCTCGGGGGCGGCGAGTGGCGTTCGGCCCAGCCAGCCTCTGCCCCGGCGTTTGGCACTCTTTCTGGAGGCGACGCGTGCGAAAATAACATCCACCATCTCTGTTCCGTCCCGGTACATTATCACTTTCTTTCTCCCCACCCCTCCCCTTGAAAGGACTTTGGGTCTCTGAAGAAACAACCGGACGCTGTTTTTCAGGAAATACGCGGTACCAAGGCTACTGTAGCTTCACGTATTCACTTGGGCAGTAGGAAAATCTTTCATGAAAAATAGTTACAGAGCCTGGAACTCCACCACATGCGACACCAAAGCTATTGTGCCCGCAGAAGGGGGTTAGCTAGTTTTACCTAAGCAAGGTTTGACTAGCTGCTGGCTGTGAGGCAGGCTGGCAGAGGTTTTAGGCTAATCTGAACAGCGGGGTGGGGTGGGGGGGGTGCATCTGGGGAAGGGGCAGGG